AAAAAAAAAAAAAAAAAAAAAAAAAAAAAAAAAAAAAAAAAAGGATGATAACATTTTCCATGTCAGAAACATCATAAAGATACTCCAGATTAGAGACTCTTAATCTGGAGTGCATGGGATAAATTTGGGGGAGTATCTGAACCCCCTGAAATTATGTACCAAATTGTGTGGTGTGTAGTATGTGTGGGGGAAAAGGGGCGTGGGTATGAGAGGGTGTGTATATGTGGAGAGAAATAATTTATTTGTTGAAATTCTAAAACAGTAGATGTGGCAATCAGGGCATTGATTTTGCTTTTTCTCTAGATAAGACTATGGCTCATTCATGTCCCTACAAAGGACACAAACTCATCATTTTTGATGGCTGCATAATATTCCACGGTGTATATGTGCCACATTTTCCCTGTCCAGTCTACCCCAAAACCTAAAATGCAATAAAATAAAAAAATAAATAAATAAAAAGACTATGGCTGAGCTGATATCATTTGCTTCAAGAATAAATAACCAATTTTCTGTAAAAAAAAATTCTTGACTGGAAGCTCACAGGCTGTTAGTGTAAGCTCATCAATGGAGGTAAGAGTCTTGAATATAAAAGACAATGGCAAAGCAAGAATTCTCCTCAAGTGAGATCCTAATTTGCACATATAGTGTCATTGGCTTTTATTAGACACCTAGGCCCAAGAGAAACTACACTGGGATTGATTGTACCTACTTCTGCTTTGAGTGGCCATCTAATTTCTCAAATATTTTGTATTTTGGGGAAAATAAATTAGAAATCCAATCTAGTTTTGCAGAGGATGTCTGCCTGTATATGGTCACTTCTTGCTAATCTGTAACACTGCAACATGCATAAATCTAAGAAGAGAATTAGTAGGTTTTATCAGATTCTCAAATAGCACTTGACTAAAAGGGCTTAAGAACCATCTAGCTATATGAATAAAATAATTTTACAGACATGAAAAGTGGAATCTTAGAGAAGTTAGGAGAGTTCCCTCAGAATAATTGGCAGAACCATGACTAGAAATAATTCTATCTAGTCCCACTTCATCATTTTTGCCATAAAACCCTAGGAGAAACTAAGGACTTTAGAGGACTCATGGGTGATCAGGTGAGTTAATGTTATCACATCACTCTAAATCAGGAGTCGGAAGATATTCCATGAGTTGTGTTTCTCCTTTTTCTTAGTCTTTGTTTCAGAAAGAACATGATACACCAGGGCAATCAGATAACTAGACAACAGTCAAAGCACCAGGGACCCATGGAATCTTACACAAATATATAAGTATATGAATATAGTTGAAGATCCTCTGCTGTTACTCAGTGAATAAACTCTAGGCATAAACACTAAAATTTCTCCCTCTTGGTTTTAGCTGCACCATGGAATGGCTTCCACAGCCAAGACTATTCTAGTGAACTTGTGCTTCCATCTCCAAAGGTCTTGTCATTTTTATCTCTAATGAGATTAACCCACTAAACTATTTCTGGGAGTATTCCAGGGAAGGTCACTTATCACACTAACAGAACTTTTAACTGAAACAGCATCTCAACCCAATGGTTTTTTGAGGTCTCTTCTTCTAACATCCTACTCTTGGTTTTGGTACCCTCTATATTTGTTTTTCTTCCTCTGATATCATCACCTCCTTCTGCTTGGGTCCATCTTTCTTGCTTCCTGTGATTACCCATCTTTCTTCACAGATTAAACAAGTATCTGACTGGGGTAACTAAATCACTACCTTGATAAAGAATTTCTTGAGCTATTAATCAGCATGGCAACAAAAAGGATTTTCTGGAATATAATATTAGGCATGCTATTCTAAAGTCAGACAAATGGCCCATTTTGTGCATGCTCATGTCATACAGAGTCACAGCAGGATATCTGTAGAAACACATGGCAACTCTCTATGAAGTAAAATTCTAATGGGCAAAATATTCTGAACATTGTAAACTTCCCCTTAGTAACCCATTCCATCAGTAACAACATATAAATAATGTTTTGAGTACCTACTGTATGTCAGACATTGTGCAAGTTTCTTTAAATACATTTTTTAATTTAATTATCACAATTATATATCACAAGTGCCATAATCCTCCAAATTTTACAGATGTGGAAACCTATTCAGAGAGTTATGTAGGTACTAAGGGACAAAGTAAACTCAATCCAGGTCAGTAGGCTTCCACAGATGTTTTAATCATTATGCATATCACACACATACATTTAAATATCTTATACATATCATTAGTCCCAGTTTTAACCACTTCTTGGTGTTAACAAATTCCATTTTATGACTATGGCATACACTGTTTCTGTGTGTCTTTCACGAAAGGAGTACTTTCAAATTTAATAATGCAATTGATCTGGGTTAGCATTTGGTGAGTGAGTCTACATTCATCTTACCACTCCAGGAGACTCAAAATCTAATCAGTAGGAGTCCCACAAAAAGAAAAAAGGATATGGTAAGAAGTAATTTTTTAAAGAAGTGATACAAGATCATTTTCTAGAATGAAAGGACATGAGTCCCAAGGCCACTGAATTCCAGGCATAGCAATGTTTAAAGAGATACTTCTTGTCATGGAAATTTCAAACATTAGGAGTAAAAACAAGATCTTCAAAGTTTCCGGAGAGAAAAACAGGTTACATAGAAAAGAACAACTTCAAAATTCTTAGCAGACACATGCAAGTATCTAAAAGATAATGGAGACCTGCTTCTACATTTTGAGTGAGACATGTTTGACCTGGAATTCTCTCTAGAGCTTCTAGAGGATATACTTCACCAAAATGGTAGATAAAACCAAGAATGAAGAACACATGAAACCCAGGAGACAAGAAACACAATGGTATAGAGGCAAAGGTAATCCCTAGGGTAACTGGCAAAGGAAGGCTCAGCGTGGTGATTTTGCAGCAGACCTAGGAGCAACAAATGTAATTGCAGTAGGAAGAGAGAGGACTCCAGGAGACATATCACCAGGAAAAAAAAATAGAACTGATGGGAAATATGACAGGTTTAAACACATGGACAATTGAGAGATAGAGCCATTGGGGGAGTGTGAGAAAACTTAGCCAGTAGACATCTTAGCATATAAAATATATCTTTTATATATATATATTTTACATATATTTATATATAATAGCATATATATAAATATACACATGAGGCAATTGATGGCTTCAGAAAAACAAAAACATTGTATATAGGTAAAAGTATGATAGTTTATTAGCATAACCATAAGCCATATTCATAAAGTCATAATAATAAAAATGCTAATTATGAACTAAACAAAATTAAGAAATGTGCAATACTTGAATGAGCAAACAAATAAACTTTATGAATAGAATAAAATAAGTCTTGAGTAAGGAGAGATGTGCCATGTTCCTGGATAAGGAGACTGGGTTTTATTTAGATGATATATTTCCCAAATGCATCTATAAGTGCAATGCTATCCTAAACAAAATGCCAAAGTGATGTTTTGCATGTAAATTTTTCAGTTGTTTCTAAATTTCCAAAAAGTAAATACATAAGAATTGCATTTAGGGTGCCTGCTCTCTAAAATATAAAAATTTACTATAAAGTGTTAGTGATTTTGGTATCAGTCAAACACACACAAAAAAGACCCAGGGTCAAATATGGAAATTAAATGATTCATAATTAGAGTATTTAAAAGCAGAAGGGGACATATTAAATTAATAAAAGTCAAAAGAATTTTAGAGCAAACTGCTAAAGAATAGCCAATGCTAATACAGAGAAACAGGCACTCTCATACATTGAGGGGACAGTGCTGCAACTTGGCAATATCTATCCATGTAATTGCCCTTTGACCTTGCAAAGGTCATTGCCAAGGATTATTACTACAAAATATAACATATATGAGAATATCAGCACAAGATATTTTATTATAGTTAAAGACTTAAAGTGGCAAAAATCTGATAGGAAGTGATCTCCAAAAAATATTTTTAAGTGAAAAAGCAAAGTGCAGAACAATATGTATACCATAGAGGCATATCTTGTTTTGTGTGCTTCACTTTATTATGCTTCGCAGCTATTGGATTTTTTATAAATTGAAGGTTTGTGGCAACCCTGCATCAAGCAAGTCAATTGGCACCATTTTTTTCAACAGCATGTACTCACCTCATGAATCTGTGTCACATTTCAATAATTCCTGCAATATTTCAAACTTTCTCATTATTGTTATATCTGCTATGGTGACTTGTGATCAGTGAACTTTCATGCTGCTTTGTAATTGTTTTGGGGCACCACTTTGTAATTGTTTATGAGCAGCGCCCATAAAAGACACTGAATTTAACTGCACTGTTGCGTGTGTTCTGACTGCTCTCTTGACCTGCCATTCTCCCATCTCCGTTTCCTCAGGCCACCCTTTTCCCTAAGATGCAATAATATTGAAATTAGGCTATTTAATAACCCTACAATAGCCTTTAAGTGTTCATGTGAAAAGAACAGTCAGATCTCTCACTTTAAATCAAAAGCAGGACATGATTAAGCTTAGTGAGCAAAGCATGTCAAAAGGACAGATAGCCTGAAAGCAAAGGCTCTTGTACCAAACAGTTAGCCAAGTTATAAATGTAAATGAAAAGTTCTTGACGGAAATTAAAAGTACTACTTGGGTGAACACAGGAATGATAAAGA